TTCTTGTGGAATGAGGTTTCCGACATCCCAGAGAGATGTTTATGCAGATCACTTGGACTGGCATTATCAGCAAAATAGAAGTGAGAAAGACGTTAGCAGAAAAGTCACTCATAGGCATTGGTACTACAGTTTAACAGACTGGATAGAATTTGAAGAAATAGATGATCTGGAAGAACGTGGAAAAAAGCCAGTTTTTTTGAACAGGTTCATCAAGAGATTGTCCTCAAAACTCAGGAGGCTGCTAAAGAAAAGGAGTTCCAAAGTGTTCTTGCTGGACCAGCTGGAGCACTTCAGAGTTGTGAAATCTGTCAAGAACAATTTGAACAGCACTGGCATGGAGAGGAAGAAGAATGGAACTTAAAAAATGCTATTGGATTAGACGGAAAGATTTACCATCCATCGTGTTATGCAGGTGACCAAAATACATCTTCTTTTGCTTGTACACCATCTGCCATCAAGATGCCAGTTGAAAACCCTTCGAACATTATGTTGAACACTGTCAAAAACGAATTGCAAGAACCCTGTGAAAGTCCCCAAGTTAAGGAAGAGCAAACAGATGCCCCACCAGCCTGTGCAGAATAAAGTTTAGCAACACCCACTGACATTAAAACAGAAAATGATACAGTTGACTTGGTTTAAAAAAAAAATTGAAAGTATGGTTTTGTATTTGTAACAAAAGCTGCTGTTGGATCTAGAATTTCAAGAATTTTTTATGTATTTGTAGACATCTATCTCTATAAATTGTCTAGCTGAGGCAGGGCCTTCAGCTATCACTTGGTTATAAATGGGTTTTAGTATTTGCATTTCCTACTGCCTGCACAGTTTCAGGTGCTTGTTGTGTGAAAGTTCTCTAGATGAGTGCAAATTTAACCAAATGAAATTGTCTGTGTAAAACTGTATGATTTTCACTTGTGAACTGCAAATTAAAATAAATATATTTGCTATAAAAGTAACCTGTATGCAGGGCGTTGGTGGCGGCGCATGCCTTTAATCCCAGCACTTGGGAGGCAGAGGCAGGCGGATCTCTGTGAGTTTGAGGCCAGCCTGGGCTACCGAGTGAGTTCCAGGAAAGGCGCAAAGCTACACAGAGAAACCCTGTCTCAAAAAACCAAAAAAAAAAAGTAACCTGTAAACTGGATTATATTATATAATGTGTACACAGAGGGCCGGATGGATTCCCAGGCAGGCCCTGGGCTGGCTTTTTCAGTCTCTGTGAGTTCATATGAGCTTTGAACATGTAGGGTTAGAAGGCCTGGTTTTCTTGATGTCCTCCATCCCCTCTGAGTCTTACACATTTACCTGCTCCTCTTCCAAAATGTTCCCTGATCTCTGAGGGGACAGAATGTTAGGAAACATCACATTTAGGGCAGTGTTCCAAGATCTCTCAGTCTCTGTGTAATATCTGGCTGTGGGTCTCTATATTTGCTCCCATCTGAACAGGAGGATGCTTCTCTAATGATGGCTGAGCAAGGCACTGATCTATGAGTACAGCAGAATGTCATTAGCAGTGAGTTTATCACTGTATCTTTCCTTTCTTCATAACAGTAATATGTGGTTTTACTTTAGGATTCTGGACTATGTATCTCTGGTTCTTTGTCACCCAAACAATGATGGCATGGCTTCTATCTCATGAAGGGGGACTTGAGTCAAATCAGTTATTGGTTGGCTACTCCCACAAGCTCTGTGCCCCCATTGTCCTAGCATATTTTGCAAACAGGACAGATTGTAGGTTAAAGGGTCTGTGGCTAGGCTGGGTTTATGATTCTCTTTTGATAGCAGCCAGAGTGCCTTCTTGTACCAAAGGTTTTGGAATGATGGGGTGAAGGCTCTGTGTAGGCACCAGCTTGACTCCTCCATGTTCATTGAGCTGTGTAGGTGTTGTCTTCAGCCATGTGGGCTTGCTGCCAGTTTGTCAAGAGCGAGCTATGGTCTTGGTAACACCTTGGTTGTTTGGGGATTCCCATGGGACCCCGTGAACAACAACTCAATTAGATGTTACCCAGTCCCAGTACTGGAAGCTTCACTGGGTGACAAGTGATGGTCAGTTGGGGCTCTGTCTCCCTCATTAGTAGGCAATTTCATCTAGATTCCCTTCATATACGTATATATTCTAGGAAATTTCTGCTGTTAGGTTTTCATACTAGTCCTCAAATTTTACCTGTCTTTCCCTATATCCTCCCCCACAACTCCCACTCCTCTCCCTTTCCTACTCTATCCTCTCAACCCTCCCCCTCTTTCATCCATATCTATTTATTTTATTTCCCCTTCCTAAGGATATCTATTTATTCTCTCAGGCCCTTACTCTGGACCTACCAACTGTGATTCTGTGGATTGTAGCTCGGTTATCACTGACTTAAGAGACAATATCCACATATAAGCAAATACTTCAATATTTGT